TTTTTTTTTTTTTTTTTGTCTTTGCTTTGCTTCGCTTTCTTTTTTTGACCGAAGTTGGAAGATGGCTGGATGGATTTCCTTAAGGATCTTATCTATGAAATGGATCCCTTAAGACAGCAGAAGGGGAAGAAAGTCTTGACCTTTACTGTGAAAATGTGGATACAGGCCAAAGGGACACAGCTTCCGGAGTTCTAGAGTAAGCAGCTGTGGAGGAGTTTTCCAAAGACAGGGAAATTGCCCTAACTGGAGAGCTGGTTTAGTGTCTTTCATAGTTATTTTCTATTAAAAACTTTCCTGGAAATATGACCTCTGATGCCACCCGGGGAGATTTCATAACCTCTCTCTCTTCAGATGATGCTGTTCAGTTTTACAATTTTTGTTTTCAATTTCTTATGTTTTGTTTATGAGGCCTTTAGGAAATACTGGATTTGACTTTCTTATTCTGACTAGAAGACTTCTCTTTGGGACGGTAGGTTACTAAGACAAGGCCACGATTTCCCATGGCAGAGAGCTCTCTTTCTGTATGCGAGTCTAGGTGGATTTCATTTTATGTTTTGGTGTAACTGACATTTCTGCTTCTTTGAGCGGTGCACTCAGTTTCTCTTCAAAAGCAAATAGACCGTCTTCTCATTTCAGACGCAAAGATATTTGTTACTTCTGGGATTTGGGGCATGAGATGCTTGCTCTACTTTGCAAAGAAGTGTCAGGTGATTTAAGAGCTCCAAGAAGTCACTCGTTTCATTACCCTCCGCGGCCTGCATGTACAGATTGAAGTGTGCACTGTTAGTAAAAGATTTCGGCGCTTCGAAACATCTTTTGCCTCCTTCCCTGGGCTTTGGTGCGGGGCGCTGCGCAGCGCTTTGAGCGCGCCGGCCTCCCACCCGCCTGAACCAGGGAGGGGCGCCGCGCCCAGAGCCCGGAGCGGATGCGCGGGCAGATGGAAGCTGAGGCGGGCGGGCGGGCGGGCGAGCGCGGGGCCCGGGACCTGACGTCACCCCGGCCCTGGCCACGGCCCCCAAGGGCCTCCCTGGGAAGGTGCTGCGCGGGGCGCGAGTTCTCTCTGCCCGGACCCTGCCCAAAGGGCCTGATTTCCTCTCTCAGCCTTGGACGCTGCCTCTTCGGGCAAATCTGAAAAATCTCCTTAAATGTCGCGGGTCCTCGCGCCTCTAGGGCCCTCTACCTCCTGCACCCCATCCGTCTCCACGTTGACCTCGTGACTCCGAACCTGGTTCTAGGCTCCAAACTTCCTAAATCAAAGACTGACTGACCCAAGGTCTGCCTTCCTCTTGCCTCTCACCCCCAGCCTTTACTTTTAAAGGATTGTTCGTCCCTGTTTGGTGTCAAGGCTCAGCATTAGTTATCGCACTTAGTCTTTCCCATTGCCAAAGGCTGCGGATTGGCATGGCTGTGGGAAGCCGCTGGAGTGATGTGGGCTCCCCAGAATATTGGACCATTCTAGGATCAGACAGTGAGGGGTGGGAGGATGCAGACTCTTCACTTTCCCATTTGTAATATAGGGATAGTATGTTTACCTCTCAGAAGATGAGTACAAAGCCCTAACACAAAATAGGATTAACTGATAGTTATTTTTATACTGTCCAGTGAAATTAGGTGATAG